CTAGGATGGTCTCGATCTCTTGACCTCGTGATCCGCCCACCTCGGCCTCCCAAAGTGCTGGGATTACAGGCGTGAGCCACAGCATCTGGCCGAGTCTGTTTCTTCATCTGCAAAATAGGGAGAATAGTCCAGGCGCAGTGGCTCAGGCCTGTAATCCCAGCACTTTGGGAGGCTAAGGTGGTCAGATCGCTGGAGGTCAGGAGTTCAAGACCAGCCTGGCCAACATGGTGAAACCCCGTCTCTGTTAAAAATACAAAAATTGGCCAGGTGCAGTGGCTCACGCCTGTAATCCCAGAACTCTGGGAGGCTGAGGCGGGCAGATCACGAGGTCAGGAGTTCGAGACCAGCCTGACCAACATGGTGAAACCCTATCTGTACTAAAAATACAAAAAAAAAAAAAAAACCCACAAAAACTAGCCGGGCGTGGTGGCAGGTGCATATAATCCCAGCTACTCAGGAGGCTGAGATAGGAGAATCACTTGAACCCGGGAGGCAGAGATTGCAGTGAGCCGAGATGGTGCCATTGCACTCCAGCCTGGGTGACAGAGCAAGAGACTCCGTCTCAAAAAATAAAAATAAAAAAATAATTAGCTGGAGGTAGTGGCGCATGCCTATAATCCCAGCTACTTGGGAGGCTGAGGCAGGAGAATCGCTTAAACCTGGGAGGCGGGTGTTGCAGTGAGCCAAGATCACGCTACAGTGCTCCAGCCTGGGTGACAGAGTGAAACTCCGTCTTAAAAAAAAAAAAAAAAAGGGTAGGAATAATTGCTATTTCACAAGGTGTTATGAGGATTCTAGTGCATGGAGAACTAAGTGTACTGCATATAAGTTTAGGAGCTTTCCTTGTTACCAATCCCACTAACCCTGCCCCTGTGGGGTGCTCTTTCCCCAGCACGTGGAGGAAGGAGGCCCAGCCCAGGAGGCAGGACTCTGTGCTGGGGACCTCATCACCCACGTGAATGGGGAGCCTGTGCATGGCATGGTGCATCCTGAGGTCGTGGAGCTGATCCTTAAGGTGAGTGCAGGGAAGGAAGCACCCTGGGCAGAGGGTGGGGGAGGCCTGAGCAACCCCTAGCAGAGTATTTTCCCCCATTCTTCCCCCAGAGTGGCAACAAGGTAGCAGTGACCACAACGCCCTTCGAAAATACCTCTATCCGCATTGGTCCCGCAAGGCGCAGCAGCTACAAGGCCAAAATGGCTCGGAGGAACAAACGACCCTCCGCCAAGGAGGGCCAGGAGAGGTGGGCACAGCTGTAAACAGCTTAATCTTTGAGCAGTGGGTGGAACTCAGGCGGGAGGGGCACAGGTGAGGATGGAGAAGGGAAGAGCACGGGAAAGGTGGGGGGAACAAGTGACCAACAAGCAAAGGGAAGAGGACAAACAATTAAGAAGGGCTGCGGGCTGGGCGCGGTAGCTCACACTTGTAATCTCAGCACTTTGGGAGGCCGAGATGGGCAGATCTCGGGATCAAGAGTTTGAGACCAGTCTGGCCAATATGATGAAACCCTGTCTCTACTAAAAATACAAAAATTAAGGCCGGGCGCGGTGGCTCACGCCTGTAATCCCAGCAGTTTGGGAGGCCGAGGCGGGCGGATCATGAGGTCAGGAGATCGAGACCATCCTGGCTAACACGGTGAAACCCCGTGTCTACTAAAAATACAAAAAAATTAGCTGGTCGTGGTGGTGGGCGCCTGTAGTCCCAGCTACTCGGGAGGCTGAGGCAGGAGAATGGCGTGAACCCGGGAGGTGGAGCTTGCAGTGAGCCGCGATCCGGCCAGTTTGGATGAGTGTTTGTAGCCAGGATTGGGCGTGGCCTAAAGTTGGGCGGGGCCTGAAGTAGGAGGAGCTAAAGGAAGTTCTATCTTGATAGGTGTGTTGTAGCGGAAGAGGGAGGAGCTAGAGAGGTGGGCGGGGCAGAATAGGTTGGTTTTGTTTGGATGCTTGTTTCTAGCTTGGACTAGGAGTGGCCAAAGGCGGGGTGGGGACTGAAGTGGGAGGAGCCAAGCAGCACGGAGCTAAAGGAAGTTCTTTGTCTTGATAGGTGGGTTGTATCTGGAGAGGGAAGGGCCAGAAGGGGTGGGAGGTTACAGTGGTGAGACCGTGAAGTGGGAGGAGCCCTGAGCTCCGGCTTCCAGGTCAAGGACTCTTGGCCCCCTCCCTGTCCCGCAGCAAGAAGCGCAGCTCCCTCTTCCGGAAGATCACGAAGCAGTCGAACTTGCTGCATACTAGCCGCTCGCTGTCGTCGCTGAACCGCTCGCTGTCATCCAGCGATAGTCTCCCGGGCTCGCCTACGCACGGGCTGCCGGCACGCTCGCCCACGCACAGCTACCGCTCCACGCCTGACTCCGCCTACCTAGGTATTACCTCTTGCACCTGCGCCGGGACCTGGCTGGTGCTCGGGCTGGTGCGCAGGGTGGCCTGGCTGGTGCTCAAGCTGTATTCACTCGCTTCACCTCATGTCACCTGCAGGCGCCTCATCCCAGAGCAGCTCCCCAGCCTCGAGCACGCCTAACTCGCCTGCGTCGTCCGCGTCGCACCACATTCGGCCCAGCACGCTGCACGGACTGTCGCCAAAGCTCCACCGCCAGTACCGCTCTGCACGATGCAAGTCGGCCGGCAACATCCCTCTGTCGCCGCTGGCACACACGCCGTCCCCCACGCAGGCGTCACCGCCGCCACTGCCGGGCCACACAGTGGGCAGCTCGCACACTACGCAGAGCTTCCCGGCCAAACTGCACTCATCGCCTCCAGTCGTGCGCCCGCGCCCCAAGAGTGCCGAGCCCCCTCGCTCGCCGCTCCTCAAGCGCGTGCAGTCGGCCGAGAAGCTGGGAGCCTCCTTGAGCGCGGACAAGAAGGGTGCACTGCGCAAACACAGCCTCGAGGTGGGCCACCCGGATTTCCGCAAGGACTTCCATGGCGAGCTGGCGCTGCATAGCCTTGCCGAGTCCGACGGCGAGACGCCCCCAGTCGAGGGCACTGGCGCGCCCCGGCAGGTCGCCGTCCGCCGCCTGGGCCGACAGGAGTCACCTTTGAGCCTGGGCGCGGACCCATTGCTGCCCGAGGGTGCCTCCAGGCCACAAGCATCGAGCAAGGAGAAGGAATCCCCGGGGGGCGCCGAGGCGTGCACCCCGCCCCGTGCGACGACCCCTGGGGGCCGGACCCTGGAGCGGGAAGTCGGCTGCACGCGGCATCAGAGCGTGCAGACGGAGGATGGCACTGGTGGGATGGCCAGGGCTGTGGCCAAGGCGGCGCTGAGCCCGGTGCAGGAACACGAGACGGGCCGGCGCAGCAGCTCTGGCGAGGCGGGCACGCCCCTGGTACCCATTGTCGTAGAGCCTGCGCGGCCCGGGGCTAAGGCTGTGGCGCCTCAGCCTCTGGGCGCGGACTCCAAGGGGTTGCAGGAACCCGCACCCCTGGCGCCTTCCGTGCCCGAGGCCCCCAGGGGCCGGGAGCGCTGGGTGTTGGAAGTGGTGGAGGAGCGCACCACGCTGAGCGCGCCTCGCTCCAAGCCTGCCTCCCCAAAGCTCTCCCCGGAGCCCCAGACACCCTCCCTAGCCCAGGCGAAGTGCAGTGCACCCAGCAGTGCAGTAACCCCAGCCCCACCGTCTTCCCTCTTGGGCTCGGGCACCAAGCCTGAAGTGGGGCTGACCTCCCGGTGCCCTGCTGAAGCTCTGCCCCCAGCAGGCCTGACCAAAAAAGGAGTGTCCAGTCCCGCACCCCCGGGACCATAGCTAAGGTGGGCGTTGGCCCTACGCTGTACAGCCTCCTGTATACATATGTACACATATAAATAAAGTGCGTCCGTGCTGCGTGAGTTTTCTGGGGCTCACTCCAGGCAAGGCGAGACATCATCACACGACCCCACCCCATGCCCAGGTGCTTTTTGGGAGGTGGGACTCCAGTTCTGGTTACCATGGAGAGTGGAGGGAACTTTGGATAGACACCTCCTGTGGTCGCACTTCTGGTCTCACCTCTGCACCAACTGTCCCCAAACCTTTAGGGGGAGAATTGATGCTGCAATGCTCTTGTGTCCCAGCGTCCACCTGAAGAAAAGGTTAACAGCCTCGTCCACCAATTTCCATTTATTTACTCCTCAACAATCCTGATAGCAGGTATTATGTTTCCATTTTGCAGACAGGTAGACTGTGTCACAGAGCAGTTAAGGCACACAATCAAGGTCACACAGCTAGGAAGGGGATGAACTGGGATTCAAAATCAAGTCCAAACTGGTTCCTGAGCCCTTAGATTTTCTTTTCTTTTCTTTTCTTTTTTTTTTTTTTTTTTTGAGATGGAGTCTCATTCTATCACCCAGGCTGAAGTGCCGTGGTGGCATTATCTCAGTTCACAGCAACCTCTGCCTCCTGGGTTCAAGCAATTCTCCTGCCTCAGCCTCCTGAGTAGCTGGGACCACAGACACATGCCACCATGCCTGGCTACTTTTTAAATATTTTTAATGGATATGGGGTTTCACCATGTTGGCCAGGCTGGTCTTGAACTCCTGACTTCAAGTGATCCACCCATCTCAGCCTCCCAAAATGCTGGAGTTACAGATGTGAACCACTGCGCCCACCCCCCTACCTTTTTTTTTTTTTTTTTGAAACAGGGGCTTGCTATGTGACCGAGGTTGGAGTAATAATAGTTCACTGTGACCATGATGTCCCTAGTTCAATGGTTCCTCTGGCTTCAGTAGCTGGGACTACAGGCGTTTATCACTATGCTGGACTTTTTTTTTTTTTTTTTTTTTTTTTTGAGACGGAGTCTCGCTCTGTCGCCCAGGCTGGAGTGCAGTGGCCGGATCTCAGCTCTGCCTCCCGGGTTCATGCCATTCTCCTGCCTCAGCCTCCCAAGTAGCTGGGACTACAGGCACCCGCCACCTCGCCCGGCTAGTTTTTTGTCCTTTTTAGTAGACACGGGGTTTCACCGTGTTAGCCAGGATAGTCTCGATCTCCTGACCTCGTGATCCACCCGTCTCGGCCTCCCAAAGTGCTGGGATTACAGGCTTGAGCCACCGCGCCCGGCCTGGACTAACTTTTTTTTAAGTTCTAGTAGAGCTGCAGTCTCACTATGTTGCCCAGGCTGGTCTCAAATTCCTGAGTTCAAGTGATCCTCCTTCCTTGGCTTCCCAAAGTGCTGGGATTACATACGTGAGCCACTGCACCCGGCCGTGAGGGTTAGATCTTATAATGTCTGCTGGGCTTCCTGGCCGTGCCATTACAGGGCTGGTAGTTCTTCACCAGCGGCTGGAAGGCCTTCCAGAGGGCTGGCAGCTGGGCACACAGCGTGCCCCCACCCCGTTGCTCCTCTCCCTGGTTCCGATTCATGTCACCCACGCAGGTCCAGGGCCCTTTTGGGGACACGCACCATTTGGAGTGGTCCTCTGTGCTGTTGAAGCTTGGGCCACCTGGTCCAGGGAAAGCTATCTGGTTCACATTCAGAACCTGCCAGATATCTGAGCAGTTAGAGGGCAGGACGCCTACAGTTTTGTGCCAGAACTGGACCTGTAGGTTGGTACCAAGGGCTGCTGCCAACCAGCCAGAGTACAGGTCTGCAAAGGATGGAGAGAGGGCACAGGTAAGGTCAAGGCCATGGCTAGGGAGTCCCTAGGCCACTTCCCCTCTCTCAGCTCAGTTTCCATATTTCTTTTTTCTTTTCTTTTCTTTTTTCTTTTCTTTTTTTTTGACGTGGAGTCTTGCTCTGTCACCCAGGCTAGAGTGCATTGGTGCAATCTAGGCTCATTGCAACCTCTGCCTACCAGATTCAAGTGATTCTCCTGCCTCAGCCTCCTGAGTAGTTGGGACTACAGGCATGCGCAACCACACCCGGTTAATTTTTTAATAAAGAGACAGGGGTTTCACCATGTTGGCCAGGCTGGTCTCAAACACCTGATCTCAAGCAATCTGCCCACCTCGGTCTCCCAAAGTGTTGGGACTGCAGGCATGTGTCACCGAGCCCTGCCATAGTTTCCATATTTCTGAACTCCGTTGTCAATTCCCAGCCCTGGGAATGATGACATTAATATTAACTGCCCTTCCCAGATTTTTTTTTTTTGAGATGGAGTCTCACTCTGTCACCTAGGCTGGAGTGCAGTGGTGCAATCTTGGCTCACTGCAACCTCTGCCTCCTGGATTCAAGCGATTCTCCTGCCTCAGCCTCCCGAGTAGCTGGGATTACAGGTGCCCGCCACCACACCTGGCTAATTTTTATATTTTTAGTAGAGATGGGATTTCACCATGTCGGCCAGGCTGCTCTCAAACTCCTGACCTCATAATCTGCCAGCGCCTGCCACCATGCCCAGCTAATTTTTGTATTTTTAGTAGAGATGGAGTTTCACCATGTGGGCCAGACTGGTCTTGAACTCCTGGGCTCAAGTCATCCACCCGCCTCGGTCTCCCAAAATGTTGGGATTACAGGTGAGCTACTGCATCCAGCCCTAAGTGTTTTTGATTAATTAATTAACTTATTTATTTTGAGACCGGGTCTCATTCTGACGCCCCGGCTGGAGTGCAGTGGCAGGATCACGACTCCCTTGCAGCCTCGACCTCCTGGGCGCTATTCTCTCATCTCAGCCTGCTGAGTAGTAGGGACTACACATATGTGCCACCATGCCCCACTAATTAAAATTTTTCTTATAGAGATGGGGTCCCACTATGTTACCCGGGCTAGTCTCAAACTCCTGAGCTCAAGTGATCCTCCTGCCTAGACTGGGATTACAGGTGTGAGCCACTGTGCCTGGCCTATTTATTTATTTTTATTTATTTATTTATTTATTTATTTATTTATTTTTGAGACACAGTCTCGCTGTGTCGCCCAGGCTGGAGGTCAGTGGCATGATCTCTGCTCACTGCAAGCTCCGCCTCCCAGGTTCATGCCATTCTCCTGCCTCAGTCTCCCAGGTAACTTGGACTGCAGGCGCCTGCTACCACGCCCGGCTAATTTTTGTACTTTTAGTAGAGATGGGGTTTCACCGTGTTAGCCAGGATGGTCTTGATCTACTGACCTTGTGATCCGCCTGCCTCAGCCTCCCGAAGTGCTGGGATTACAGATCTGAGCCACCACACCCAGCCTATTTATTTATTTATTTTTAAATAAAGACAGGGTCTCGCTCTGTCACCCAGGCTGGAGTGCAGTGGAGTCATCATAGCTCACTGTAGCCTGAAACTCTGGGCTCAATTTATCCTCCTGCCTCAGCCTTCCAAGTTGCCTGGCTAATTTTTAATTTTGTAGAGATGGGGTCTTGCTATGTTGCCCAGGCTTGTCTTGAACTCCTGTCTTCAAATGACCCTCCTGCCTCAGCCTCCCAAGTGACAGATTACAGGAGTGAGGCACCACCTCTGGTGCCCAAATGCCTTATATGTACCACTTCATTCACAACAATTTTTTAAGTAGATGTCAGTATCCCCATTTTTCAGATGAGTAGACTGAGGCTCAGGTGAAATTATACATCACACAGCTAGAACCCAGGGTTTGAACCCAGGTCTGTTCACTGCTTATGTGATTATAGCTCCCAATCAGACCCAGTCTCTACCCCTGACTCGAACTCAGCCATGGCCGCACCAGTCACCCCTTCTGCAGAGAAGGAGCTCTCCACCCTCAACCTTCAGACTCACCATCTCCAAATTTGCTGAACTTGGCAAAGCTCTGGAAAACAGTCCCGGCCTGGGATGTGAGTGTGACGCTGCTGTTCCAGGGTTCTTGGCTAACGTGGTAGCCCTGGATCACATTCTCCAAGTCGGGGAATTCCTGGGCAAAGATTCCTTCCAGCTGGTAGTCATAAACCTGGGGGTAGGTGTAGGTCAGCTGCTTGCCTGGAGGACAAGGGGAGGAGGAAATGCAAGATCATTCTAGGTTCTAGTTGGTAAACCCAGGACTCATCCTGTGTCCCTGACTCCACTCACCAATCTTCGAGAACTGAGTGAAGGGAAAAGACACACAGAGCAGGGTCTGCCCGTAGGTACAGGCGCTATGAGGCCAGCTGTATGCAGCAGAGGAGGCCAGTGGAGGGAAGTCAGGTACGCTGTGGACCAGCCAGAAGCCTCCGTCGTGGTCGAGGAGCAGGACACCTGGACCAAAAGAAGGCATTAGAGGAGGTCGGGCGCGGTGGCTCAAGCCTGTAATCCCAGCACTTTGGGGAGGCCGAGACGGGCGGATCACGAGGTCAGGAGATCAAGACCATCCTGGCTAACACGGTGAAACCCCGTCTCTACTAAAAAAAAATACAAAAGACTAGCCAGGCAAGGTGGTGGGCGCCTGTAGTCCCAGCTACTCGGGAGGCTGAGGCAGGAGAATGGCGTAAACCCGGGAGGCGGAGCTCCGGGAGGCGGAGCTTGCAGTGAACTGAGATCCGGCCACTGCACTCCAGCCTGGGCGATAGAGCCAGACTCTGGCCTCAAAAAAAGCAGCGCGGCTCAAGCCTGTAATCCCAGCACTCTGGGAGGCCAGGCGGTGGATCACGAGGTCAGGAGACTCAAGACTATCCTGGCTAACACGGTGAAACCCCGTCTCTACTAAAAATACAAAAACTAGCCGGGCGAGGCATGGCTCAGAACTCCCAGCTATTCGGGAGGCTGAGGCAGGAGAATGCGTAAACCCGGGAGGCGGAGCTTGCAGTGAGCTGAGATCCGGCCACTGCACTCTAGCCTGGGCGACAGAGCGAGACTCCGTCTCAAAAAAAAAAAAAAAAAAAAAAAAAAGAAATCAGCCTGGCCAACATGGCGAAACCCCATCTCTACTAAAAATACAAAAATTAGCTGGGCGTGGTGGTGGATGCCTGTCATCCCAGCTACTCAGGAGGCTGAGGCAGGAGAATCGCTTGAACCTGGGAGGCGGAGGTTGCGGTGAGCTGAGATCCGCCACTACACTCCACCCTGGGCCACAGAGCAAGATTTCATCTCAAAAACAAGTAAGTAAGTAAATAAATAAATAAATAAAAATTTTATAAAAGAAGGCAGACCTCACGCAGTGTCTCATACCTGTAGTCCCAGCACTTTGGGAAGCTGAGGCGGGTAGATCACCTGAGGTCAGGGGTTCAAGACCAGCCTGGTCAACATGGAGAAACCTCATCTCTACTAAAAATACAACATTAGCTGGGCGTGGTGGCAATGCCTGTAATCCCAGCTACTTGGGAGGCTGATGGAGGAGAATCGCTTGAACCCAGGAGGCAGAGGTTGCAGTGAGCTGAGATAGCACCACTGCCCTCCAGCCTGGGCAACAAGAGCGAAACTCCTTCTCAAAAAAAACCAAAAAAAGGCAATTAGAGGGTATTGCTCCAGGCCTCCCAGCAAGGTCATCTGCAACCAGGAACACCCTCAGTTTGCAGCGGGGCTTAGAGAGGGTGCCAGCAGCGTTAGAACCACGGCTGAGCTTAGTTTTTGCAGGTGTAAACTCCTATAGTCCAGAATAACGCCAAGATTAATATAAGGTAGGGAAACAGGCCAGGTGTGGCGGCTCATGCTGGTAATCGCAGAACATTAAAAGGTGAAGGTGGGTGGATTGCTTGAACCAGGACTTCGAGACTAGCCTGGGCAACATGGCGAAACTTCACTCTACAAAAAATACAAAAAGTAGGCCAGGCGTGGTGGCTCACACCTGTAATCCCAGCACTTTGGGAGGCCGAGGCAGGTGAATCACCTGAGGTCAGGAGTCCGAGACCAGCCTGGCCAACCTGGTGAAACCCTGTCTCTACTAAAAAATACAAAAATTAGCCGGGCATGGTAGGGCACATCTGTAATCTCAGCTACTCCAGAGGCTGAGGCAGAAGAATCACTTGAACTGGGGAGACGGAGATTGCAGTGGGCTGAGATTGCGCCACCAAACTCCAGCCTGGGAGATAGAGAGAGAGTGTCGCAAAAAAAAAAAAAAAGCCAGGCATGGTGGTGGGTACCGACAGGCCTGGTACTTGGGAGGCTGAGGTAGGAGGATTACCTGAGCCCTGGGAGGTCAAGGCTGCAGTGAGCTGTGATACTGCACTCCAGCCTGGGTGACTCTAGGTGAGACCTTGTCTCAAAAAAAATAAAATGGGGGAAAAAGATGACTAAGGTCTGACAGGGGAGATCTCCCACCCGGCTACGGAGATCAGGGGTGAGTTTGGAAAAATGTATAGGAACTCGGCTGGGCAGGGTGGCTCATTCCTGTAATTCCAGCACTTTGGGAGGCCAAGGTGGGTAGATCACTTGATGTAGATCACAGGAGTTCAAGACCAACCTGATCAACATGATGAAACCTCGTCTGTACCAAAAATACAAAAATTAGCCTGGTGTGACAGCAGGCGCCTTTAATCCCAGCTACTTGGGAGGCTGAGACAGGAGAATTGCTTGAACCCCAGAGGCAGAGATTGCAGTGAGCCAAGATTGTGCCACTGCACTCCAGCTTGGGTGACAGAGTGAACTCCCTCCGTCTTAAAAAACAAAAAGAAAAAAAAAATGTTGGAGGGAATAGATGCCCAGGGTCTGACAGTGCAGATCTCCCCAACCACCCAATGCAGTCAGGGGTTAGCCTGGAAAAATGTATAGGGACCCAAGTCTCTCCCCAACCCCCAATCCAGTCCTCACCCTTCGTGTGCCCACGTTTGGAAGAGTTGTGAGCCTTGCTGGCTTGAGGCGGTTGGTCATTGTAGAGCAGGAAGGCGAGCTGGGGGCGAATAAACGGAGACAACGTGAAATTCCTCCCAGGCAGGGCGGCCCTAGAATTTCACCCCTACTTGGCCCAGGGCCCCCTTCACCTGGCTGTTGTTGCTCCGGTACAGCGGCTGTAGGCTTCGGCCCACGGCCCCCTCCGGGCTGTCGATGAGTCCCCTGCCGTCCCGCCAGCCTCCGGAGCTCTCGTCCAGATACTTGTACTGCAGCCCTCTCTGCGCCGCCTCCCCGGACCCTCTAAGAGCTGGCAGCTTGTAGACCACGAACCTGGAGGTCGGAGAACGCACAGAAATAGGGGAGAGGGAAGAGAAAGCACCCCAGGGTTCCCCGAGGAGGCAGCCATCCCGGTCAAGTGACCCCCGCCGGACCCCGGGGCGATGGTAGGCCCCCCGCTGCACACTCACCAGTCTACAGGCTGCCCAGAGTCCCCGTAGCAGGTCAGGGCCCCGGCGGGGACGCACAGCAGCGCGGCCAGCAGCAGCGGGATCATCACTGCTATGGGGCTGAGATCCAGGAATCTGTGTCGGGGCTGCGGGGCGATGGGTTGCAACAGAGGCCAGGACTGGCACCTGGCACCTTTTATTTCCCTAAACTTGCCTGGGAACCCGGGCGGGGACATCACGAGGGTAGAGACTCCTCCCCCGAGACGCGACGCTGCGTTTTGGAGAGGCAAAAGGCAGCCCCGAGTCTGCTCAGACCACGCCCACGACGGGCCAGGCGCTCCAGCGTCTCTTGGAGCCTGGTCACCATTCCTTTTAGTGGTAGCTAATCCCAGCCCAGGCACTTCTGTTCGACCCAACTCCTGCCTCGGTTTCTGGATCAGGCACAAGTTTGATTTTGTTTCCAGCCCTACAACGTGGGTCCAACTCTTGTGACCTTTGTTGTTATTCTTCTTCTTCTTTTTATGAGATGGAGTTTCACTCTTGTCGCCTAGGCTGGAGTGCAATGGCACAATCTCGGTTCACTGTAACGTCCGCCTTCCTGACTAAAGCGATTCTCCTGCCTCAGTCTCCCGAGTAGCTGGGATTTCATGCGCCCACCACCACGCCCGGCTAATTTTTGTATTTTTAGTAGAGACGGGGTTTTTCCATGTTGACTAGGCTGTCTCGAACTCCTGACCTCGTGATCCAACCGCCTTGGCCCCCGAAAGTGCCGAGATTACAGGAGTGAGCCACCGTGCCCGGCCATGATCTTTGTTTTCTTAAGAAGTGTTTGTGCTCCAGTGGATCTTCCCCTTTTTCTTTCTTCTTTTTTTTTTTCCTTCCTTCCTTTTTTTTTTCTTTTTTCCCCAGACAATATCTCACTCTGTTGCCCAGGCCGGAGTGCAGTAGCATGATCTTGGCTCACTGCAACCTCTGCCTCCCCAGTTCAAGTGATCCTCTCACCTCAGCCTCCTGAGTAGCTGGGATCACAGGCACATGCCACTATGCCCAGTTAATTTTTGTAGTTTTTTTGGAAACACGGTTTCACCATGTGGCTCAGGCTGAACTCCTGAGTTCAAGGGATCCACCTGCCTTGCCTCCCAAAGTGCTGGGATTACAGGCATGTAATCCACCCCACCCAGACTCCCCTTTTTCATTCTGCACGTTTTCCCCAGGACTCCCTGAGCTAGCAAAGAGGTGACTTTATGTTTGGTTTTTGTTGTTTTGAGACAGGATAATGGTTTCTCACCCAGGCTAGAATGCAGTGACTCCATCACGGTTCACTGCAGCCTCAACCTACTGGGCTCAAGTGATCCTCCCAGATAGCTGGTACTACAGGCCTGTGCCACCACACCCAGATAATTGTTCATTGTGGTGATGAGGGTCTCACTATGTTGCTCAGGCTGCTCTGGAACTCCTGGGTTCAAGTGATTCTCCCACCTCAGCCTCAAGGGATCATGGCAGGGCAAAGGGCTATGGGAATCTGAGTACTTGCTTGAAACTGCCTTTGCAAAAATTATAACAGAAAACCAACTCCACCTTGCCTTTAATCCCCAAACTGCCCTTGCTTGGTCATTCCTGAGTGTGAGGCCAAGCTAATTTTTTTTTTTTTTTTGAGACGGACTCTCACTCTGTTGCCCAGGCTGGAGTGCAGTGGCACGATCTCGGCTCACTGCAAGCTCCGCCTTTCCGGTTCACGCCATTCTCCTGCCTCAGCCTCCTGAGTAGTGGGGACTACAGGTGCCTGCTACCACGCCCAGCTAATCTTTTGTATTTTTAGTAGAGGCGGGGTTTCACCGTGTTAGCCAGGATGGTCTCGAACCCTTGACCTTGTGATCCACCCAGCTCGGCCTCCCAAAGTGCTGGTATGACAGGCGTGAGTCACCACGCCCAGCCAACTTTTTTTTTTTTTGACACATTGTCTCGATCTGTCACCCAGGCTGGAGTCCAGTGGCATGATCTCAGCTCACTGCAACATCCGCCTCCTAGGTTCAAGCAATCCTCCTGCCTCAGCTTCCTGAGTAGCTGGGATTATAGGCATGCACCACCATGCCCTGCTGATTTTTGTGTTTTTGGTAGTGACTGGGTTTCGCTGTTTTTGGTAGAGATAGGGTTTCGCCTTGGGGCTCAGGCTGGTGTCGAACTGCTGGGCTCAAGTGATCTGCCCACCTCAGCCTGCCAAATTGCTGGGATTAAAGAGGGAGCCATCTATGCCCGGCCCCAAGCTAATTTTGGGAGGAATTTAGTTTATAGCTTAAATGATAATAGCCCTTCCCCAAACTAAACTGCCTTTGTAGAAATAATGACAGGGCACTAGGTTAGGAGGATGAGAGGAGCCTGAATTCTGCTAAAATGTAGTTGTAGTAGTTAAACTATGACCAGCCATTATTCTGGCCCGGTGTGGCGCCTCATGCCTGTAATCCCAGCACTTTGAGAGGCCAAGGCCGGCGGGTTACCTGAGGTCAGGATTTCGAAACCAGCCTGGCCAATATTTGGAAACCCCGTCTCTTCTAAAAATACAAAAATTAGCCAGGCGTGGTGGCACGTGCCTGTAATCCCAGCTACTTGGTCGGCTGACACAGGAGAATCACTTGAACCCAGGAGGCAGAGGTTGCAGTGAGCGGAGATGGCACCACTGCATTCCAGCCTGGGCGAGAGCAAGACTCTATCTCAAAAACAAAAACAAAGATGGCCAGCCATTATTCTGGAGGTCACAAGGTTTGCAACTTCCCCAGTTATTTCTGCAAATAACATGACTATTGCAAAACCTTACACTGGCCTTTTTAGATGTCTTTTTAGGCTTTTTGTATATCTGACAACTGGATGACCCTACCCAGACTAGTGTCTCTATGGTCCCCATCCAAAAGCTGACTCAGCAACTGTTTTCCACAGTCCCATGATTGCATCAAGGCACCCATTCCCTAGCCCTTCTGCCCACCAAACTGTTCTTGAATAACCCTAGCCTCTGAATTTTCAGGGAGGCTGATTCAAGTAATAAAACTCCCATCTCCCATTTAGCTGGCTGTATGTGGATTAAACTCTTTCTCTGTTGCAATCCGTCTGTCTGCATAAATTGGCTCTATCTGGGCAGTGGGCAAGATGAACCCCCTGGGCAGTCGCAGGCTGTGGATTCTCAAATGCAGGGAGATGTTTGCTGTCAATGTCCACAGGGTTTGAGGCAGAAGGCAAACATGGTGCAGCCTGAAGTGGGCGGGAAAAGAGAGGACAGCAAGGCCTGCAGTGCCCAAGGAGGCTTGTTGGAGTTGAGGGGTGTCACTGTAGTTTAGGAGATGAGGGTGTGTAAGGCCCTCTAATATGACCTCTAGGTTTACAGCCTCCTGCTATCTTCCAGCCTCCAAAACCCAAAAATTCAGGCAAACGCTGAAGCTTTATCTGGGAAGGGCATTTTTATAGGACCCATAACCATTGACAGTTAATATCAGCCACAATAAGGGACCTTCAGGAGCCCCTTTCTAGACCCAGGGTCTCTGGGAAGCCTCACCCCACACCCTCTCCTGCTGTCCAGTGCCATCTGGGAGCTGGTCTGAGTGTCCACTGAGTCCGTTTATTTGGTGGTCTGTCTCACTGGGTCTGCATGACAGTTTGGACATCTCTGTGTGGCTCTCTGTGGCTGAAGACTTGTCGGATTTCCGTGGGAGGCTCCCCCAGGGCTGTCTATGGGTCCGTTTTTGATATTTGGGTGGATCTTTGGGACAGCGAGTCCAGGAGAGGGTCCATTCGTGGGAAAACCACCCGGCATTGTGTCACGCGCGTCCGTGTGAAGAGACCACCAAACAGGCTTCTTGTCCCATCCCCAATCCCCAGGACAGTCCACGTGCCAGGGCAGGGCTCAAAGGTGGCGCTTCATGTGCAAAGCCAGGTGGTCTGAACGCGAAAAAGCACGTGGGCAGAGCTGGCAGCGGAAGGGGCGTTGCCCCGTGTGTTTCCTGTAGTGGCGGGTCAGCTCGTCTGAGCGCGCGAACCTCCAGCCGCAGCCTTCCCACGTGCAGGCGTATGGCTTCTCCCCTAGGGGACGAGGAAGTCATAAGCGCTATTGTCAGCCCAATCATGTCCCTGGGTCCCCTGCATCTGGCCACACCCCTTTACTCAGTCTGGGCTGGGACTAGGATGAACAAAGTGAGGCCCCTAGGGCACAAAATTTAAGGAGGCACTCACTCTCAGAGCCAGCCAAGTCCAAGTCCCGCCCTCTGCAACCCTTCTTCCCCTGTAACTACAGCGGGTGCCACGCCCTTTCTCATGTCCGGGTTCCGTCCCCTCACCTGTGTGCGTGCGCAGATGCGCCTTCAGGTGGGAGCTCTTCGTGTAGCTCTTGCCGCAACCCGGGTGCACGCACGTGTGCGCCGCCTGCCTCTTGCGCGCCCACGAACGTCGGCCGCGCTTGGATGGCGCGGCCTCGGCTATCACACCGGGATCCCCCGCAGTCCCCCCGAGTCCAGTGCCCACCGTCCCGGGTCCCAGGCAACTCAGGAAGGAAGGGGACGTGGCGGGACCGGGCGCGGGTCCCTGGAGCCCGCGGAAGAGCTGGAAGTGCCCTTGGTACTGAGGCGCCGGGTACACCGCGGGGTACCCGGACAGCAGCCCGTAGGGGGCGCCCGACGCCGCAGGCACTGAAAGCCCGGTCCGCTGGAAGTAGCCGCCCGAAGAGCCGGCGCCCGGCCCGGGGTACACCGGTTGCAGCGCCAGCGCCTTGGGCTCGGGGGCCGGGGCTGGAGCCACGGCTGGGCCCACGAAGGCGTCGGGACCCGGGGCTCGCAGGGCAGGGCGCACCCAACCCGAGTGATCCTCCGAACCCAAGAGCCCAGCCACCATCCCCGGGCCGCCCGCATAGGCGCCCAGAGTCTCGGGGGGCGGCGGGTATTGCACCCCGGGGGCCTCGCTGGGCGCCAGAGCGCAGGTCTGGGGCGCGCCACCCGGCTCCGGGCCCGAGAAGTTGGTGAGGAAGAGATCCAGGTCCCAGGTGGCGTCCGCGCCCCTCTCATCGTCCTCCTCCTCCCCGGGCTGGTCCTCAGACTTCACATGGAGGGGCGGCTCCGTGGGGTCAGGAGGACCCGGGCCCATGTCCTGCGCCTCTTCGGAGCGCCACCACTGCGGGAGGGAGCAGGCAGCTTGAGGTTCGGTGGACACTGAGGTGCCCTGCCCAGGGACATCGCAGGCTGGGTACTCTTACAGGGACAGGCTGGCCAGAGGCTTTGGAAAAGGGTCCTGTTTGCCTGTCTCTCTGTCCCACTTCCCCAACACTAGCCGCCCTCTAGCCGCCCCTCT